ATAATAATTTAGACAAGATACCCAAAATACCCTTGATTATTACTTACCTAAAAATTTATTCTTCATGAATAGTTCTTTTGTTTGAACTCGAAAACAACTTATCAAAGTTAGAAATCCTTTGAGAAATAGAAAAAGAATACTGAGCGAGAAAAACAACATCTGCAATTTTAATCTCACTTGTTGTTCTCTTCCCTTTGTCACGATCGCGCATGCCTAAGTTGTCTCTAACACTGCGCAGGTAAAGAAAGATTGAGAGAGAAAAATTTGGGAGAGCGTCGTCTCTGGCACCGTTTCGGTCTGTCGGCGACACTGTCGGCCTAGTGATGATGTTGTAATGAATTTTTACGAAAATTCATCATCAAGATTATGGCTAAAATGTCTGGGCTTATGCACACAAATATAGTTGGCCCTATTAAAAAGGAATTTTATTCAATATATATTTTTTGGAAAAATACCATATGCTATATATCATAACCCGTTGTCTTAACCAGAGCATCGTTGAGAATTTCTCTAGTGCGATGCGTTCAAAAGGTGGGTAATATGACCTCATGACTACTCTTCTGTTAAAGTTTAGGTTAAGGAAATATATAACGGGTATGACAAAATAAAATAATAGCCGACTAGTCTCGACAAACAGCAAGGACCAGCCTAAACCACCCACCAGCGTAGGGGAGGCTAACCAGCCAATCCAACCTAAGGGAAGTGCAAGGGCTGACCTTGTGGTAAGCACCGGGGCTAAGGAGCTCAAACCAGACAAGACCATTGGAACGCAAGAGGGCATACCGCTTACTCAGACGTCTGGCCACCAACCCTATACGGGAGGATCAGACGTCAAAGGAGGACTACCAAAACATGCATGAAGACATAGCCTGAGCAAAGGCGGTAATCCCAGACTTCGATATCGCTAAGACACAAAGCGACAGCAACAAGCGAGAGAGGACAATTGAAGTAGCTCAACCAGCGAGCAAGAAGGCCAAGCCAACCAGCCGCGGACGAAAACCCAGGACCGCCCCCAGACTGCACATATGTAGTGTGGTATCAGGGAAACGTCAAGATGATCGCCTGTGAAGACGAGAGATCGGCAGCGCTCTATAAGGCTGCCATCACCAATGTTGGCAAGGTCTACCCCGGGGCCAAGCTGAGTGACTGCGAGGCAGTGAATATCCCGTCGCGAGCGAGGTCGAGGGTGTGGTTGCCGTCTGAACCCTCTGAGCCAGAGGCTATTCTTAGCCTCTTGACAAGGTTCAACCCAAAGCTTCCGACAGATGTTTGGAAGGTGGTAAAGGTTGAGAGGACCGAGCGCGTCACTACAAACGTGGAACCGCACGCAGCATTTTAGTCGCAGCTGTAAAGAGATAGAAGAAGAAGAGATCATGCTATGTTTTTGTCCAGCGAACAACTCTCTGTCTGTCTGTCTGTCTGTCTGTCTGTCTGTCTGTCTGTCTGTCTGTCTGTCTGTCTGTCTGTCTGTCTGTCTGTCTGTCTGTCTGTCTGTCTGTCTGTCTGTCTGTCTGTCTGTCTGTCTGTCTGTCTGTCTGTCTGTCTGTCTGTCTGTCTGTCTGTCTGTCTGTCTGTCTGTCTGTCTGTCTGTCTGTCTGTCTGTCTGTCTGTCTGTCTGTCTGTCTGTCTGTCTGTCTGTCTGTCTGTCTGTCTGTCTGTCTGTCTGTCTGTCTGTCTGTCTGTCTGTCTGTCTGTCTGTCTGTCTGTCTGTCTGTCTGTCTGTCTGTCTGTCTGTCTGTCTGTCTGTCTGTCTGTCTGTCTGTCTGTCTGTCTGTCTGTCTGTCTGTCTGTCTGTCTGTCTGTCTGTCTGTCTGTCTGTCTGTCTGTCTGTCTGTCTGTCTGTCTGTCTGTCTGTCTGTCTGTCTGTCTGTCTGTCTGTCTGTCTGTCTGTCTGTCTGTCTGTCTGTCTGTCTGTCTGTCTGTCTGTCTGTCTGTCTGTCTGTCTGTCTGTCTGTCTGTCTGTCTGTCTGTCTGTCTGTCTGTCTGTCTGTCTGTCTGTCTGTCTGTCTGTCTGTCTGTCTGTCTGTCTGTCTGTCTGTCTGTCTGTCTGTCTGTCTGTCTGTCTGTCTGTCTGTCTGTCTGTCTGTCTGTCTGTCTGTCTGTCTGTCTGTCTGTCTGTCTGTCTGTCTGTCTGTCTGTCTGTCTGTCTGTCTGTCTGTCTGTCTGTCTGTCTGTCTGTCTGTCTGTCTGTCTGTCTGTCTGTCTGTCTGTCTGTCTGTCTGTCTGTCTGTCTGTCTGTCTGTCTGTCTGTCTGTCTGTCTGTCTGTCTGTCTGTCTGTCTGTCTGTCTGTCTGTCTGTCTGTCTGTCTGTCTGTCTGTCTGTCTGTCTGTCTGTCTGTCTGTCTGTCTGTCTGTCTGTCTGTCTGTCTGTCTGTCTGTCTGTCTGTCTGTCTGTCTGTCTGTCTGTCTGTCTGTCTGTCTGTCTGTCTGTCTGTCTGTCTGTCTGTCTGTCTGTCTGTCTGTCTGTCTGTCTGTCTGTCTGTCTGTCTGTCTGTCTGTCTGTCTGTCTGTCTGTCTGTCTGTCTGTCTGTCTGTCTGTCTGTCTGTCTGTCTGTCTGTCTGTCTGTCTGTCTGTCTGTCTGTCTGTCTGTCTGTCTGTCTGTCTGTCTGTCTGTCTGTCTGTCTGTCTGTCTGTCTGTCTGTCTGTCTGTCTGTCTGTCTGTCTGTCTGTCTGTCTGTCTGTCTGTCTGTCTGTCTGTCTGTCTGTCTGTCTGTCTGTCTGTCTGTCTGTCTGTCTGTCTGTCTGTCTGTCTGTCTGTCTGTCTGTCTGTCTGTCTGTCTGTCTGTCTGTCTGTCTGTCTGTCTGTCTGTCTGTCTGTCTGTCTGTCTGTCTGTCTGTCTGTCTGTCTGTCTGTCTGTCTGTCTGTCTGTCTGTCTGTCTGTCTGTCTGTCTGTCTGTCTGTCTGTCTGTCTGTCTGTCTGTCTGTCTGTCTGTCTGTCTGTCTGTCTGTCTGTCTGTCTGTCTGTCTGTCTGTCTGTCTGTCTGTCTGTCTGTCTGTCTGTCTGTCTGTCTGTCTGTCTGTCTGTCTGTCTGTCTGTCTGTCTGTCTGTCTGTCTGTCTGTCTGTCTGTCTGTCTGTCTGTCTGTCTGTCTGTCTGTCTGTCTGTCTGTCTGTCTGTCTGTCTGTCTGTCTGTCTGTCTGTCTGTCTGTCTGTCTGTCTGTCTGTCTGTCTGTCTGTCTGTCTGTCTGTCTGTCTGTCTGTCTGTCTGTCTGTCTGTCTGTCTGTCCATGAATCCATGAATCCGTTTGCCTCTGAGAGCTCCAGAAAGTGGACCAATTTCAGAATTTTTCGAACTTTGAGGTCCTTTTGCTAAGAATCCTTGCGTCGGGGAACTTTTTGGAAAACGCAGTTTAACTTCGGAATTCATAACGAATCCAAAAATATAGCACCCATCGAGGTAAATTTAAAAAGCATTAAAAATGCTGCCCAGTGTAATTAAATGGAATTAAAACAAACTTACATTTTTTGAGGCAAGTCGCCCTCTCCAGGAGTTGAACCAGGGACCTTTGGATTTGTAGATATACTAACTGATTGAGCCATACACGCATTACATTTTGTAATGCCCTAACAAGGTTTATGAATTTTAGTGTGACATAATTCAAAAACAGTGATTTTTATAACCTTGCAGAGGGTATTATGATTTCAGTCAGAAGTTTGCAACGCAGTGAAGGAGACGTTTCCGACCCCATAAAGGATGTATATTCTGGATTAGCATCACTACACACAAAAAAAAACTTGGTAAAATCAACTGTAATAATTGTCAAACAGGCCCCAACCAGCAAAACTGTCAATTCTACTAAGTAAATAGTTATTCCCCAACAACAAAATACTCACAATTAGCAAAGACACACACCCAAAGCAAAAACAAAATACACGTAACTATTTTAATAGTTACGTAACTATCTTTGTTGGTCAATTTTACCAAGCAAATTTTTTTGTGTGTAGTTAAATTCTAGTTGTCCTTTAACTGGACTTTAACATGTATTCGTTCTACCAATTAACTACTTGTAAAGATTTTTTTTAGAAAGTTACCAGTCCGAGACAAGTTGCTTTTTTACTAGTTTTGTATTATTCATTTTTTCGACTAGCACAAATTTTCTAGAACCTGTGTAGTCCGAATGCATCCAGACAAATTCTGGTTGCTTTATATTATTTGTATAACAAGTTGTTTTTCAGACTAGATCCCATTTTTTCTACAGGGTTTGTATATTCAGAAATAAACGAAATTTTACGACATTTTGGCTCCCCCTTCGTCTATGTTGAAAGCATACACACAAAATGGACTAAAAACGGGCCTAATTACCTAAAATTTTAGGAAACATGGCCAGAAAAACGCGCCAAGGCATTACCTATAATGCTGTCCATGTGGACTATATTTTTTTCACGTTTTTTTTTTGCTAATTTTGCGAATAGTACACGTAAAAATAGTTTCAGGCAAATCAAAAATGTGAAATTTTTTTTCGCCAAATCCGTTCGGTTTGTAAAAAAACCGCCCATATATTCTTGATCAGGGTCACTAGCCAAGTCGATCTAGCCATGTCCGTCTGTCCGTCTGTCTGTCTGTATGAACGCTAAGATCTCGGAAACTTCAAACTTTCTACCCAGCGCAAGTTTATTTCAGCCAAGCGCCACGCTCCCTTTAATGCCCACAATCGCACACTAAAGATTTTAAAATGTGTCTGGCGCCCACGTCTTTAAAGATTTCCGAAAAGTATAAATGCAATTTTGTTGTGGATAATTATACTTATCGAAATATTTATATTTTAAATCGGACCATTCATTAAAAAGTTATGCGCAATCGAAATTTTATACATCCATCTCCATCGCACACCCTTTTAGCTGAGTGACGGGTATTAGATAGTCGGGACACCCACCCGAATATAGCGTTCTCTCTTGTTTTTACTGAGAAGCACGATTAAAACAATTCTTTACAAGCTCTGTTCTATAACTTAAAAATTTTTAAATGTAAAATTAAACTACAAAATTTAAATTACTTACCCTAACAGAGTTCTTAAATTCATAGGAACTTTTGTTGTTGCTCGCTTTAAAAGTTTGCTTACAGAACAGCATAGATTTTTGATAAAGGAAAATATGTCGCTGACGCGACTTGATTCGTAAACGAATATCCTTTTTAGACTCAGTCCACACCTGGAATGAGTCTTGCATCATAAGGTCACCTTGTTGCGCTAAGTCACTCTGAAAAAATCACATTTTCTATTTTATTATTAAATGGAAAAAAAGCTACCTACCGGAAACCCTGTTATTGATACTTGATGCATAGAATCGTTAACACACTTCAAAACAATTAACATAGAATCAAGTGCGTTTTGAAGTTCTTTTGTGCAGATACCATTGTCGCTGAAGCGCAGCAAATCTTTCAAAAGAAGCTGGTATTTTGTAATTCTCTGAACTGGCTTAAGCAAGTATGCCGCCAGTGGAAGCTTATGACCCAATCGTTTCTGACACTCTTGAAGAAACAAATGTGTATCCGACAGAGTTTCTCGCAAGCGCTCTGAGCGAGAAATGTTTTGACAATAGAAAGAGTACAGTTGATAAAATGTATCACGCTATAAAAGATAATGGTAAAAACAAGCTTTTCATTGTTTTATCAACTTACCCTTTGAACAAAGCATAGTGCGACGAGCTCAGCGGTCGAAATACAGTTTTCAAGATCCTTAAGAAAAACGTCATTATGAAAGGTATAGAGCTCATGCAGGTTCCCAAACAGCACATCCTCTTTTCCTTGGAGGCTAGTGGGGCAAAGCATTTCTGATTTCAAACGATCATAGTAGCCCTAAAACATAAAGTTTTTTAAATAGTTAGCATCACTGTGACCTTGGACTGTGAGTTTTGGGTTACAATAGCGATTAATCGCCTGCTAAATGCTTTTATAATTTCCGAGATCTCAGCGTTTATACTGACGCACTGACATGGCTAGATTCTCTCGGTTGGTGCTCTTGATGAAGAATACTATACTATAAATCCTTATCTGGCTACACTAATTTAACTTAAATATATTTTTAAAATTAATTTATTAATATATCCTAATTAATTAATATCCTTCATGAATCTAATGCTTGAAGGCAGGGAATTAAACATTCTAAGAGCCCTTAGTAATGGCTCATAGTGGGTATAATTTTTCTTGAAAGTACGGTCCAGGAATGGAAACATGGTACGAATATTCTTGGCAGAAACATTTAAATGAATGCATCCCAACAGGCAAGAATAATTAATATTACCTACTAGCAGATCATTAGGAAAAATTCGTCCTGCAATTGCATCCTTTAAGGAACAAGTGTGAAGCAGGGAACAGTGGCTAGCATAGGACGGAGCCGGTGATGTAAAATGCAAGGATTGCAATGCAAAAACTTTTTCTGCAACCTCTCAATTCTATTGATCTGGACACTTCCTGAGGGATTCCAAATAAAGAAAGCATATTCAACCCTGGAACGGGGTTTTAAGTTTTGTTTGTGGAAATCTTCGAAATCCAAGAAGATGAGCCCCAACCGACTTCCGGTTGGAGCACTTAATTAATTTTTCCGCAGTTACCGTATCCGTACCGCCGCCTAAATTTTTCCGTGCTATCTCGTAAATGGATGATGACCGGCAGCTAGCCGTTCATCGCCCTAGATCAGCGGTCGGCAGCATAGGGTTTTGTTCTGCCCAGCCGCTGCTCGCTCACGTATACTGTAGAACAGCGGTCTGCACACACACTCTGATGATCTGCCCAGTGCAATTTACTCATACAAATATTAAAGAAAATGTTATTATATGTGTGCGCCGACCGCTGCACTAGATAGAGCTGCAATGTCAGCAACAGGCAGGATGTACTCCCGCTCGAGCAAATATACAGAAAAACTACTTTGTTAGCACTTAAACATATATACACACACATATATAATTGTAATACACATTTATATTTCCGGGCTGAGGTTCCAATTGGACCAAAATGCCATAATAAAATTATTCTGATTTTAAAACCTGAAGAAGACAGAAGTGCAGTTCTCATCTCTAAAGATTATAAAATTAAAGACCGATTTTTAAGGGCACGCAAAAAAAAACTTGGTAAAATCAACTGTAATAAATGTCAAACAGGCCCCATTTATTTAGACAAAAAATCATGTTTTTTAAAATACGATTCTATTATATTTGAGTTTTTAAGATTTAAAAAGGTTGATACAGTCATAATACATTACAAATCTTAAAATGTTAATTTACTTAAATACGCTTAATTTTAATATATGATTTTCCATTGCTTATTTGCTTATTGTTTCCTTCTTTAATGTTTTTGTTGTAAATGTGTGTACGATTATCAAAACAAAACAGAAAAGTTTCGATAAAATTATCGAATATCGGATCCTATTATCGCAATTTACTAGTAACGCGCTTTAATAAAAAGTGTACACCAATAAACAAATGCTAATACAATATTAATAAGGAAATGTCCCCCTTTTTTTATTTGCCTTAAACTAGTTATATTTTTAACATCTATGTCTTAATAGATATCGATGATTTAACGGAATGGTCACACTGAACCATTCCCAATTGTTCGCGTGCATTACTGGTTGTGAAATCGAAAAAATGGTTTAAAAAAAAGTGCGTGTTAAAATGCCGGCTAAAGCTAAAAGAAAGCGTATAATCCTTTCGGATTCGGAGCCTGAAGAAAACATTGAGGAGGTGAAGGATCAAAAGAATATAGCTGACCCGGTACCGTGCTCAACTTTTGAGGTTATGTACTTAAGTCCGGCGTATACCCGAGGACTCAGACAAAGTTAAGCTATCTAATTTAATGAAAGAACTCGGTATGGAACATTTAATGCAATACTTAATTGGTAAGAAAAACATAAAAACCAGTGGTGGCCAGCAGAAGCAGCACTCCCGACCCATGGGCTAAGCAGTTTTTCTGCCGCTGCGCTGTCAGCGTTTCGACGTCCACGTTTCTCTGCTTAACAGCGTCGAAAAGCTATCAGCGCAGCGGCCGAAAAAACTGCATAGCCCATGGGTAATATGAACAAAATAAATGAAAAGAATGTGAAGAAAGGAAAACACTCCAGTTGCGACAGTGTGTGTATTAGTATTTACATATGTACATATGTACGCTCACATTTTTTTCTTCTTCTCCCTTTGTTGCTCCGCTGATAAAAGTTAAGCTAATTATACCCGTTTCCGTAGAGTAAAAGGGTATAATGTATTCGTGCAAAAGTATGTAACCGCTAGAAGGAAGCATTTCCGACCCTATAACGTATATATATTCTTGATCAGGATCACTAGCCGAGTCGATCTAGCCATGTCCGTCTGTCCGTCCGTCTGTCTGTCTGTCTGTATGTCTGTCCGTATGAACGCTGAGATCTCGAAAACTATAAAAGCTAGAAGATTGATATTTTGCATGCAGTTTTTAGAAGTTCCTACGCAGCGCAAGGTTGTTTCTAAAGGGTGCCACGCCCTCCACAATCTCTTATATACGATTTGAAAAATTTCAATATTTCGGAAAAGTAAAACTGCAGTTTTATTGTGTTTATCAATACCTATCGAAATGTAGAAGACATTTTTTTAATCGGACCATTCGTTAAAAAGTTACGGCGGATCAAAGTTTTCATCCCAAACTCCTTCGCACTCCCTTTAGCTGAGTAACGGGTATATGATAGTCGGGGCACCCGACTATAGCGTTCTCTCTTGTTTTTATTCCTTAGATGCAAATATAACATTTGATTGTTTAAAATACATGGACAGGGATGATATTAAGGAAGCAATTCCACCACTGGGTCCTCGTTTAATTTTCAGGAAAAAACTGTTTGAGTGGAGAAAAACTTTTGTAAGTATCTTAATTTACAAAAAAAAACAATTGGCATACATTTTAACTCTTATTTCTTTTAAGTATGAAGCCAACCAAAACTCTGTTGAGCCTCCACTCAAACAAAATGAGCCTGTCAAAATCGAAGAGGACCAAAGTATCAACAGCAGAAAATCCATTAATTATAAGGTTATGAAATAAATAAATGAATTTATATTCTTAAATAAAGTATTTTTAATCCTAAAAATAGATCGCTTCCTTGTTTACCATACTCTTGGGTTCAGAATTTTCAGTCTTAATTCTATACCATTGACATCTTAAATTAATAAAATGTGTTCTTAGATGAAGATCAATTTTTCTTGATTTTAGACTTTTTGGTCTACAATAAGTGTTCTGCATTTAAGAACATTCTGTCTTAATATAAGAACTATCGGACTTGACTCATTCCCATGACCAAACGTTCTTAATTTAAGAATATTTCACTTAATTTTAGACTGCTTTTTTTTCTCAGAGTACTTTTCCGGAAAATTAAGGTTGCCTCCGATTAGGGTGAGGTCGATTTTATTTTGTAAACTGGTGTAATTGATCCCTCTTTTTAAATATGTAACCCCACAACCATCAGATTTTTTTTTCAAAACATACGTCCCTTCAAAGCTAACAAAGATTTCGCATTAAAAAAAAACGCAATTTTTAAGGTGACGAACGATTTTTTCTTTGAATGCAACTTTTTCAAAAAGCAATATTTTTTAAAGTGTATAAGCAGAATGTTGCTTACATCTACTGGGCATATTTCTGTAAAAGTACGATTTTAAATTCCAACGGAGCTAAGTCCTACAGCGTTTGGCGTGAACCATTCTAATTTTGCACTTTCAAAAGTTGTAGGGTAGGATGACGAACGATTCGTTGTTTGTATACAAATACAAAAGAACCATCAAACTGGGGCATTCAATGTTATATGGTAAAATTCGAGTTTTTTTTACATAAAATCAACGATCACAATTCAAATACTTGAGTAAAAAAAATTCGTCACCATACCCTACAAAAAGTTTGTATATTTATCTGATTACACAGGCCGACAAAATGTGACATGGGTCGGTGTCCAGGTCTGCCACCATTTTATTTCGATAAATGAGGCTTTTCTAAGCATAAGTTGCCACTACGCCTACAGTCCATCAGCTCTGGTATTTGCGGTATCTTTAATTTAAGAAAATCACAAATTTTCTTCGTCTTTTGGGATATATCTTCAAGAGTGGTCAACCAATTTTGGTATTCTTTTCGGAATTAAATAGTTACATGTCTCTTTTATACGGTCGTTTTGGAAAATTCAATCTAACTGAACCACAAGAGAAGGTGGGCGCATTTAAAATTTTAAAGTCACAGCACAGTTTAAAAATCTTAATTTGTGAACAGCGTTTAAAAATTAAATAAAAATATTTTCTTCTACAATGCATTTTTGATCCAAAGACACCTTATGTCCCTAATTTTTAGGACACTCATCAGGTTTTTGTGTATTGTTTTGGAATTTTTAAAATTGTTTTTCTTACTTCCTTCACAGTGACGATTCACAAACAGTGCCCAAACCTGTCACAATTTTAAATATCATAATTCTAAACGATCTAAGTAGTTTTGCTTTGAGTATAAGCACATGAGCGTAGCCTACTAATCTTTGGGGGCTGAAATGCTTGAAGTGTAATCCCCCTCCAGCTTTTAGCTTACGCCCATGTATAAATATTTTTAAAGCAAGGGTCACTTGTGCTCAAAAACAGTTATGAGTTACGTAAAATAGTGACAGGTTTGGGCACTGCTTGTGAATCGTCACTGTGAAGGAAGTAAGAAAAACAATTTTAAAAATTCCAAAACAATACACAAAAACCTGATGAGTGTCCTAAAAATTAGGGACATAAGGTGTCTTTGGATCAAAAATGCATTGTAGAAGAAAATATTTTTATTTAATTTTTAAACGCTGTTCACAAATTAAGATTTTTAAACTTTGCTGTGACTTT